GCAAAATGATAGGATACTGAAGGAGGAACTCCCCAGGTCGGTAGGTGCCCACTATGCTACCGGAGATCAGTGGAGAAATAACCCCAGAAAGAATGACGGGATGGAGCCAAAGCAAAAACAACACCCAGTTGTGGATGTGACTGGTGACAAAAGCAAGGTCTGATGCTGTAAAGACCAATATTGCATAGGAACCTGGAATGTTAGGTCCATGAATCAAGGCAAATTGGAAGTGGTCAAACAGGAGATGGCAAGAGTAAACATCGACATTCTAAGAAGCAGCAAACTAAGATGGACTGGAATGGGTGAATTTAACTCAGATGACCATTATATCTACTACTATGGCCAGGAATCCCTTAGAAGAAATGGAGTAGCCATCATAGTCAACAAAAGAGTCCAAAATGCAGTACTTGGATGCAATCTCAAAAATGACAGAATGATCTCTGTTTGTTTCCAAGGCAAACCATTCAATATCACAGCAATCCAAGCCTATGCCCTGACCAGTAATGCTGAAGAAGCTGAAGTTGAACGGTTCTATGAAGACCTACAAGACCTTCTACAACTAACACCCAAAAAATATGTCTTTTTCATTATAGGGGACTGGAATGCAAAAGTAGGAAGTCAAGAAACACCTGGGGCAACAGGCAAATTTGGCCTTGGAGTATGGAATGAAGTAGGGCAAAGGCTAATATAGTTTTGCCAAGAGAATGCACTAGTCATAGCAAACATCCTGTTCCAACAACACAAGAGAAGACTACACATGGACATCACCAGATGGTCAACACCAAAATCAGATTGATTATATTCTTTGCAGCCAAAGATGGAGAAGCTCTATACAATCAGCAAAAACAAGACCAGGAGCTGACTGTGGCTCAGATCATGAACTCCTTATTGCCAAATTCAGACTTAAATTGAAGAAAGTAGGGAAAACCACTAGACCATTCAGATATGACCTAAATCAAACCCCTTATGATTATACAGTGGAAGTGAGAAATAGATTTAAGGGACTAGATCTGATAGAGTGCCTGATGAACTACCGATGGAGGTTCATGACATTGTACGGGAGATAGGGATCAAGACCATCCCCGGAAATGCAAAAAAGCAAAATGGCTGTCTGAGGAGGCCTTACAAATAGCTGTGAAAAGAGAAGCAAAAAGCAAAGGAGAATAGGAAAGATATTCCCATTTGAATGCAGAGTTCTAAAGAATAGCAAGGAGAGATAAGAAAGCCTTCTTCAGTGATCAATGCAAAGAAATAGAGGAAAACAGTAGGATGGGAAAGACTAGAGATCGCTTCAAGAAAATTAGAGATGAAGGGAATGTTTCATGCAAAGATGGGCTCAATAAAGGACAGAAATGGTAGAGACCTAACAGGAGCAGAAGATATTAAGAAGTGGCAAGAATACACAGAAGAACTGTACAAACAAGATCTTTATGACCCAGATAATCACGATGGTGTGATCACACACCTAGAGCCAGACATCCTGGAATGTGAAGTCAAGTGGGCCTTAGGCAGCATCACTACAAACAAAGCTAGTGGAGGTGATGGAATTCCAGTTGAGCTATTTCAAATCCTAAAAGATGATGCTGTGAAAGTGCTGCACTCAATATGCCAGCAAATTTGGAAAACTCAGCAGCGGCCACAAGACTTGAAAAGGTCAGTTTTCATTCCAATCCTAAAGAAAGGCAATGCCAAAGAAAGCTCAAATTACCTCACAATTGCACTTATCTCACACTCTATAAAGTAATGCTCAAAATTCTCCAAGCCAGGCTTCAGCAATATGTGAAACGTGAACTTCCAGATGTTCAAGCTGGCTTTAGAAAACGCAGAGGAACCACAGATCAAATTGCCAACATCTGTTGGATCATTGAAAAAGCAAGAGAGTCCCAGAAAAACATCTATTTCTGCTTTGTTGACTATGGCAAAGCCTTTGACTGTGTGGATCACAATAAACTGTGGAAAATTCTGAAAAAGATGGGAATACCAGACCACCTGACCTGCCTCTTGAGAAACCTGTATGCAGGTCAGGAAGCAACAGTTAGAACTGGACATGGAACAACAGACTGGTTCCAAATAGGAAAAGAAGTTTGTCAAGGCTATATATTGTCACCCTGCTTATTTAACTTATATGCAGAGTACATCATGAGAAACACTAGGCTGGAAGAAGCACAAGCTGCAATCAAGATTGCTGAGAGAAATATCAATAACCTCAGATATGCAGATGACACCACCCTTATGGCAGAAAGTGAAGAGGAACTAAAAAGCCCCTTGATGAAAGTGAAAGAGGAGAGTGAAAAGGTTGGCTTACAGCTCAGCATTCAGAAAACTAAGATCATGGCATCTGGTCCCATCTCTTCCTGGGAAATAGATGGGGAGGCAGTAGAAACAGGGTCAGACTTTGTTTGGGGGGGGCTCCAATATCACTGCAGATGGTGATTGCAGCCATGAAATTAAAAGACACTTACTCCTTGGAAGGAAAGTTATGACCAATCTAAATAGCATATTAAAAAGCAGAGACATTACTTTGCCAACAATGGTCCATCTAGTCAAGGCTATGGTTTTTCCAGTGGTCACGTATGGATGTGAGAGTTGGACTGTGAAGAAAGCTGAGCACTGAAGAATTGATGCTTTTGAACTGTGGTGTTGGAGAAGCCTCTTGAGAATCCCTTGGACTGCAAGGAGATCCAACCAGTTCACCCTAAAGGAGTTCAGTCCTGGGTGTTCTTTGGAAGGACTGATGTTGAAGCTGAAACTCCATACTTTGGCCACCTGATGCAAAGAACTGACTCATTGGAAAAGACCCTGTTGCTGGGAGGGATTGGGGGCAGGAGGAGAAGGGGATGACAGAGGATGAGATGGCTGGATGGCATCACCGACTCGATGGACATGAATTTGGGTAAACTCCGCAAGTTGTTGATGGACAGGGAGGCTAGCTGTGCTGGGATTTATGGGGTTCCAAAGAGTTGGATGACTGAGTGACTGAACTGAACTAGAAAATATAAAGAAGAAGCAAACAATAATAAAGAATACAAAAACTGAAATTTAAAAATACACTGATGAAATGAAGAATAGATTAAATATTACAGAGGAATGGATCAGCAAGGTGGAAGACAGAGAAGTGGAGATTACTGATACTGAACAGAAAAAGAGAAAAAATAATGAAAAGAAGCGAGGACAGTTTAAGGGCTTCTGGGGCAACATGAAGCTTGCAAATATTTATATTATATGGGGCCCCAGAAGGATAATAGAAATATAAGAGGGCAAAGAACATATTTGAAACAAAGTAGCTGAAAACTGCCATAACTTGGGAAGGGAAACAGACATATAGGACCAGGAGGCAAGGAGAGTGCCAAACAAGAAGTCAGAGAACCACATCTAGATACACTGTAACTAAAATGGCAAAAATTAAAGAGAGATTATTAAAAATACCAAGGGAAGAACAGCTAGTTACAGGATTTCCCTGGTGGAACAGTGGATAAGAACAGCCTGCCATTGTAGGGGGCATGGGGTTTAATCCCTGGTCTGGGAAGATTCCACATGCCTCAGAGCAACTAAGTCTGTGTGCCACAACTACTAAACCCATGTTCTAGAGCCCACCAGTTACGATTGCTGAGTCTGCATAACACAACTAATGAAGCTTGTGCCCCTAGAGCCTGTGTTCTGCCACAAGAGCACCCATGGCAGGAAGCCCTTGCGTCACAACAGAGTAGTCCCCGCCCCCCACAGCTAGAGAAAGCCTGTGTGCAGCAGCAAAGACCCAGTGCCACCAGAAATGAATAAATTTTAAAAAATGAAATAAAATATCTTTTAAAAAAAGCTAATTACAAACAAGGAAGTTCCAGTAAAATTCACAGCTGAGTTTTCAGCAGAAACTCTGTAGACTAGAAGGGAGGGGCACACGTATTTGAAGTGATGAGTGGGGATAATGTATAACCAAGAACTCTACTCAGCAAGGATCTTATTTAGATTTGATAGACAGATCAAAAACTACAGGCAAGTACAAGCTAAAACAATTCAGCATCACCAAATAAGCTTTCCAAGAAATGTTAATGTAAATTCTCTAAGCCAAAAAAGACAACTAGAAACATGAGTGATACAAGGGAAAAGTTTCATCAGTAAGGGCAAACATGTAAGTAGGAAATCATCCATGCACAAAGCTACCTGGAAGGTTAAAAGGCAAAAGTAGTAAAATCAGCCATATCCACAATAATCAGTTAAGGGAAACACAAGACAATTAGATGAAAAATCTAATCAAAGCAATAGTCTTGAGGGGAGGAGAGTACAAATGCAGAATTGGCAAAATGCATCTGAAATTAATAGATCAGCAACCTAAAATAATCATATATATTTTTATAAACTTCATGGTAACCACAAATCAAAAATCCATAATAGATATATATATGTATACAAAAAAAGAAAAATGAATCCAATCATAATACTAGAGATAATCATCAAATCACAGAAGACAAGAAACAACGAAACTCTACAAACAACCCCAAACAATTAACAAATGGCAATAAGCACATATATATCGATAATTAATTTAAATGTAAGGTGAATTACATTTAAATATAAACAGACTAAATGCTCCAATCAAAACACATAGAATGAATGTATGGATACAAAACAAAACTTGTATATATGCTGCTTACCAAGAGATTCACTTCATATCTAAAGTCACACTCAGACTGAAAGTGAAGGGATGGAAAAGGTCTTCCATGCAAATGGAAATGAAAAGAAATCCAGGATAGCAAAGCATACATCAAATAAAACAGACTTTAAAATAAAGACTGAGAGGACTTTCAAGATGGCAGAAGGGTAAGACACGGAGATCACTGTCCTCCGCACAAAATGTATAAAAAATATATCTGCATGTAGAGTAACTCCTACAGAACACTTCTGGATGCTAGCAGAAGACCCCAGACTTCCAAAAAGACAAGCTAACCTTCCCAGAATGAGGTAGGGCAAAAGATATAAGAAAAAAAAGAAACAGAGGATTTGGAATGGACCAGTGTCTTGGGAAGAGAGTTGTGAAGGAGGAAAAGTTCCCACATACTCAGAAACTCCCTCATAGGTGGGGACACAGGAGCACTTGGGAATTTCAGAGAGGAACACAGCAACAGGTGTTTGGATGGAAGCAAAACGGACAGAATTCACCACAGAAATTGTTGCCAACCCGCACTTCCCAGCTGCGTCAGTGTTTGCATGCCGGGTAAGTGGGGGTAAGTGGTAAGTGGTGGTAAGTGGGGCCGGGGCGCTGAGGCTCAGGTGGTAAGTGGGGGCGGGGCGCTGAGGCTCAGGTGGTAAGTGGGGGCGGGGCACTGAGGCTCAGGTGGTAAGTGGGGGCGGGGTGCTGAGGCTCAGGAGGTAAGTGGGGGCAGGGTGCTGAGGCTCAGGTGGTAAGTGGGGGCGGGGTGCTGAGGCTCAGGTGGTAAGTGGGGGCGGGGCGCTGAGGCTCAGGTGGTAAGTGGGGGCGGGGCGCTGAGGCTCAGGTGGTAAGTGGGGGCGGGGCGCTGAGGCTCAGGTGGTAAGTGGGGGCGGGGCGCTGAGGCTCAGGTGGTTAAGTGGGGGTGGGGCACTGAGGCTCAGGTGGTAAGTGGGGGTGGGGCGCTGAGGCTCAGGTGGTAAGTGGGGGCGGGGTGCTGAGGCTCAGGTGGTAAGTGGGGGCGGGGCGCTGAGGCTCAGGTGGTAAGTGGGGGCGGGGCGCTGAGGCTCAGGTGCTAAGTGGGGGTGGGGTGCTGAGGCTCAGGAGGTAGGTGGGGGCGGGGCGATGAGGCTCAGGTGGTAAGTGGGGGCGGGGTGCTGAGGCTCAGGAGGTAAGTGGGGGCGGGGTGGTAAGTGGGGGCGGGGTGCTGAGGCTCAGGAGGTAACTGGGGGCGGGGTGGTAAGTGGGGGCGGGGCGCTGAGGCTCAGGTGGTAAGTGGGGGCGGGGCACTGAGGCTCAGGTGGTAAGTGGGGGCGGGGTGCTGAGGCTCAGGTGGTAAGTGGGGGCGGGGTGGTAAGTGGGGGCGGGGTGCTGAGGCTCAGGAGGTAAGTGGAGGCGGGGTGCTGAGGCTCAGGTGGTAAGTGGGGGCGGGGCGCTGAGGCTCAGGTGGTAAGTGGGGGCCGGGTGCTGAGGCTCAGGTGGTAAGTGGGGGCGGGGTGCTGAGGCTCAGGAGGTAAGTGGGGGCAGGGTGCTGAGGCTCAGGAGGTAAGTGGGGGCGGGGCACTGAGGCTCAGGTGGTAAGTGGGGGCGGGGTGGTAAGTGGGGGCGGGGTGCTGAGGCTCAGGTGGTAAGTGGGGGTGGAGCGCTGAGGCTCAGGTGGTAAGTGGGGGCGGGGCGCTGAGGCTCAGGAGGTAAGTGGGGGCAGGGTGCTGAGGCTCAGGTGGTAAGTGGGGGCGGGGTGCTGAGGCTCAGGAGGTAAGTGGGGGCGGGGTGGTAATTGGGGGCGGGGTGCTGAGGCTCAGGAGGTAAGTGGGGGCGGGGTGGTAAGTGGGGGCGGGGTGCTGAGGCTCAGGTGGTAAGTGGGGGCGGGGCGCTGAGGCTCAGGTGGTAAGTGGGGGCAGGGTGCTGAGGCTCAGGTGGTAAGTGGGGGTGGGGCGCTGAGGCTCAGGTGGTAAGTGGGGGCGGGGCGCTGAGGCTCAGGAGGTAAGTGGGGGCGGGGCGCTGAGGCTCAGGAGGTAAGTGGGGGCGGGGTGCTGAGGCTCAGGTGGTAAGTGGGGGCGGGGCGCTGAGGCTCAGGAGGTAAGTGGGGGCGGGGTGCTGAGGCTCAGGTGGTAAGTGGGGGCAGGGCGCTGAGGCTCAGGAGGTAAGTGGGGGCGGGGCGCTGAGGCTCAGGAGGTAAGTGGGGGCGGGGTGCTGAGGCTCAGGTGGTAAGTGGGCGCGGGGCGCTGAGGCTCAGGAGGTAAGTGGGGGCGGGGTGGTAAGTGGGGGCGGGGTGCTGAGGCTCGGGTGGTAAGTGGGGGCGGGGCGGTAAGTGGGGCCGGGGCGCTGAGGCTCAGGAGGTAAGTGGGGGCGGGGCGCTGAGGCTCGGGTGGTAAGTCGGGCCGGGGCGCTGAGGCTCAGGAGGTAAGTGGGGGCGGGGTGGTAAGTGGGGGCGGGGTGCTGAGGCTCAGGTGGTAAGTGGGGGCGGGGCGCTGAGGCTCAGGAGGTAAGTGGGGGCGGGGTGGTAAGTGGGGGCGGGGCGCTGAGGCTCAGGAGGTAAGTGGGGGCGGGGTGGTAAGTAGGGGCGGGGTGCTGAGGCTCAGGTGGTAAGTGGGGGCGGGGCGCTGAGGCTCAGGAGGTAAGTGGGGGCGGGGTGGTAAGTGGGGGCGGGGCGCTGAGGCTCAGGAGGTAAGTGGGGGCGGGGTGGTAAGTGGGGGCGGGGCGCTGAGGCTCAGGAGGTAAGTGGGGGCGGGGTGGTAAGTGGGGGCGGGGCGCTGAGGCTCAGGAGGTAAGTGGGGGCGGGGTGGTAAGTGGGGGCGGGGCGCTGAGGCTCAGGAGGTAAGTGGGGGCGGGGTGGTAAGTGGGGGCGGGGCGCTGAGGCTTAGGTGGTAAGTGGGGGCGGGGTGGTAAGTGGGGGCGGGGTGCTGAGGCTCAGGTGGTAAGTGGGCGCGGGGCGCTGAGGCTCAGGAGGTAAGTGGGGGCGGGGTGGTAAGTGGGGGCGGGGTGCTGAGGCTCGGGTGGTAAGTGGGGGCGGGGCGGTAAGTGGGGCCGGGGCGCTGAGGCTCAGGAGGTAAGTGGGGGCGGGGCGCTGAGGCTCGGGTGGTAAGTCGGGCCGGGGCGCTGAGGCTCAGGAGGTAAGTGGGGGCGGGGTGGTAAGTGGGGGCGGGGTGCTGAGGCTCAGGTGGTAAGTGGGGGCGGGGCGCTGAGGCTCAGGAGGTAAGTGGGGGCGGGGTGGTAAGTGGGGGCGGGGCGCTGAGGCTCAGGAGGTAAGTGGGGGCGGGGTGGTAAGTAGGGGCGGGGTGCTGAGGCTCAGGTGGTAAGTGGGGGCGGGGCGCTGAGGCTCAGGAGGTAAGTGGGGGCGGGGTGGTAAGTGGGGGCGGGGCGCTGAGGCTCAGGAGGTAAGTGGGGGCGGGGTGGTAAGTGGGGGCGGGGCGCTGAGGCTCAGGAGGTAAGTGGGGGCGGGGTGGTAAGTGGGGGCGGGGCGCTGAGGCTCAGGAGGTAAGTGGGGGCGGGGTGGTAAGTGGGGGCGGGGCGCTGAGGCTCAGGAGGTAAGTGGGGGCGGGGTGGTAAGTGGGGGCGGGGCGCTGAGGCTTAGGTGGTAAGTGGGGGCGGGGTGGTAAGTGGGGGCGGGGTGCTGAGGCTCAGGTGGTAAGTGGGGGCGGGGCGCTGAGGCTCAGGAGGTAAGTGGGGGCGGGGTGGTAAGTGGGGGCGGGGCGCTGAGGCTCAGGAGGTAAGTGGGGGCGGGGTGGTAAGTGGGGCCGGGGCGCTGAGGCTCAGGTGGTAAGTCGGGGCGGGGCGCTGAGGCTCAGGAGGTAAGTGGGGGCGGGGTGGTAAGTGGGGGTGGGGCGCTGAGGCTCAGGTGGTAAGTGGGGGCGGGGCGCTGAGGCTCAGGTGGTAAGTGGGGGCGGGGCGCTGAGGCTCCGGTGGTAAGTGGGGGCGGGGCGCTGAGGCTCAGGCTCCGAGCGTTGGAGCCCAGGCAGAAGGCTGGGATTGACTGTGTACCGTCCGAGAGTGGCAGTATGGCACAGATGAGGGGGACAGGGAAAAGCCTGGGCCTGCCAGGAAGGCAGGTCATTGTCGCGGGAACCCTCTAACTCACAAGCTCGAAGGACCCCGCCTTCACGCGTGCCATAGGAAGTACAAGCCTTGGCTGCGGACTGCGACCCCAGAGATTGATATGCTGCTGGCTACCACCAAAGCCTGTGTGAGTACCAGAGACACGGGACAGAACAGCGACGCGGTCCCAACCCCAGAGGCAGCAGCTGCCACCAAGCCGTGAACAAGCACAGGCCCCGCCCACAACTCCCTGGGAGCCCGAGCAGCCTGGCTCTACCCAGGCACGCACAGTCTGGGGGCAGCCCCCCTGAGAGGGTGCACAAACCCCCTCGGACTGCAGCAACTGCCCACAGGCCTCCGCTGCAACAGGCAGTCCCCACACCCCCAGTTGTCGCTGCTGTGCTCCCCCGTCGCTCCAGCCCGACTGAACAAGCGAGTCCTAATAAAGTGCTACTTTTGCCCCTTTTGTCTGGGCAGGGAACAGACCTGGAGATCAGCCTACAAACGAAGGGAGGTCAAATCAAAGCTGAGCACCAGAGGCTGTGTGGCCAAAGAAGAGGAAGGGAATTTGTTCCTGCGGTCATAGGTGCACTGGTTAAATCCCCACAGTTTGCCTGAGACTGTGGACTGTGGTGGTAATTGTGGACTTTGGGAAAAAGTACAAGCTGGAGTAAGGCCGGATCCGAGCCTGAGCTGACCCCACAGCAGCCGCAGCAGGTCCAGAGACCTTCCCAGAAATATTGGCGGACTTTTGGCGTAGGCAGATTGGCTGGTGCCTGAGGACACAGCCAAGGACAACGGTGGACATTCTTCTTACTGCCACTTTCTTTCTCTCTATTTTTTTGGTCTTTTTTCACTTTCATATTGTCCTATTGTTCTTTTTCATTATTCCTTTAATTTTTATAACTTACTTTTTCTTTTTTAAAAGTTTTTATTTTAAATACATTTATTTTATTTGTTTTTCTTCCCCTATTTTTACAGTACTCTTTAGTTATTTTGCATTTTTCCATGTTTTTAATTTTGTATTTTGCTAGTCTAGTTTTTAGTATGAGTTTTCACTTATAGGTTTGTTTATTGGCTTGACTGTACTCTTCTTTTTTGGTTCCTGGGTTTTTTTTTTTTCTTCTTCTTTTTTCTCTCTTCATTTCTCTCTGTGACTGTGCGTTTCTTTGGGTGTTCTTGTCTGCTGAGTGTTGCTTTCACCATTTGTCTTGGGGTTTTATCTGTCCATTCTTTCTTGTTATTGTTTCTAAGTTTGTTTGACTTTCTCTTCTTCTTTTTATTTTTAAATTCTTTTTTCTCTATATATTTTTTCTGTCTTTCTTTCTCTTTCTCTTCTTTGCTGTGTGGCTTGAGAAGTCTTGGTGCTACAGTAAGGGGTCAGGCCTGAAGCTCCAAGGTGGGAGACCCAAGTCCAGGATGGTGGACCACCAGAGAGCTCCTGACCCCATGACCCATTAATCAGTGAGAGCTCTCCCAAAGGCCGCCAGCTCAACATTAAGACCAGGCCCCACCCAAGGTCAGCAAGCTACAGTGCCAGACGCCTCATGCTAAATCTTACAGCGAAGCAGTAACACAACACTGCCCACTAGCAGATAGGCTGCCCAAAGCCATACCAAGCCCACGGACACCCCAAAACACAGCACCGGACACAGCGCTGCCCTTCAGAGAGAGAAGGTCCGGGTCCACTCATCAGGACAGAGGCACCCAGTCCCCTCAGCCAGCAAGCCTCACAAGGCCCTGGTCCAACCCGTTCACAAGGAGGACTGTGAATGAGAGGACTACAGACCTGAAACGTGCAGGAAGGAGACTTCAAACAGTAAATCAAACAAAATGAAAAGACAGAGAAACATGCAACAGATGAAGCACACGTGTGGGTGCTAATCTGCTTGACTTGTCTGACTCTGTGCAACCCTGGACTGTAGTCCGCCAGGCTTTTCTGTCCATGGAATCCTCCAGGCAAGAGTACTAGAGTGGGTTGCTATGCCCTCCTTCTGGGGATATTCCTAATCCAGGGATTGAACCTGTGTCTCTTATGTCTCCTGTATTGGCAGGTGGGTTCTTTGCCAGTATCACCGCAAGGGAAGCCCAACAAATGAAGGAACATGGTGAAAACCTAAAATATCAAACAATGAAGAGGAAATAGGCAATTTATCTGAAAAAGATTTCACAGTACTGATAGTAAAGATGATCCAAAGTCTTAGAATTAAAATGGAGGCCTAGATAAATAGAATGGAGGCACAGATTGAGAAGATATAAGAAATATTTAACAAGGACTTAGAGGAAATAAAGACTAGACAAACAGCAATGAGTAACACAATAACTGAGGTTAAAAATACACTAAAGGGAACCAACAGCAGAATAACTGGGAAGAAAAGGAAGCTGGAAGATAGAATGGTGGGAATAACGAAGCAGAGCAGAATAAAGAATGAAAATAAATGAGGATAGTCTTGGACACATCTAGGACAACATTAAATGTCCAAATTATATGGGTCCCAGAAGAAGAAGGGAAAAAGAAAGGGTATGAAAAAGTATTTGAGGAAATTATAGTTGAAAACTTCCCTAACATGGAAAAGGAAATAGCCATCCATGGAGCTTCCATCTCTGGAAGCCCAGAGAATCCCACACAGGATAAACCCAAAGAGAAACACACCAAGAACATATTAATCAAACTAATGAAAAATAATAAAAAGAAAAATATTGAAAACATCAAGGGAAAAGCAACAAATAACATATAAGGGGATCCCCATAAGGCCCACAGGTGATCTTTCCACAGAAATTCTGCAGTCTAGAAGGGACCGGCAGGATATACTTAAAGTGATGAAAGGAAAAAAACCTACAACCAAGCTTACTCTACCCAGCAAGGATCTCATTCAGATTCAGTGGAGAAATCAAAAGCTTTACAGATAGGTAAAAGTTTAGAGAATTCAATACAACCAAACCAACTTTACAACAAATGCTAAAGGTACTTCTCTAGACAGGAAACACAAGAGAAAGAAAAGACCTATAAAAACAAACCCCAAGCAATAAAGTAAATGGTAATAAGATCATTCATATCAATAATTACCTTACATGTAATGGATTAAATGCTCCAATCAGAAGACACAGACTGGCTAAATGGATACAAAAACAAAACCCCTACATATGCTGTCTACAAGAGACCCACTTTGGACCTAGGGACACATATAGACTGAAAGTGAGGGCCTGGAAAAAATATTCCATGCAAATGGAAATAAAAAGAAAGCAGGAATAGCAATAATCTTCAGATAAAATAGACTTTAAAATAGAGACTGTTACAATAGACAATGATAAATTTTACAACACGGGGAATATAGCCAATACATTATAATAAGTAGAAATGGACTATAAATTTTAAAATTGTGAATCACAATGTTGTACACCTGAAATTTCTGTAATAATGTACATCAACTATATCTCAAGAAAAAATATACAAAGGACTGTGCATTCAAGCTCCATATCATTTTTACCTATTGAATCAGCAAAGATTATGGAAGGAAATAATAATTCATGATTGAGGGTGCAGGGAAATGCCACTCCCACAAACTGTGAAGGACGATATAAACTGATACTCCCTTTTTAAAAAATTTGCTTATTTTTAATTGAAGGATAATTGCTTTACTGATACTTCCTTTTGAAAGCTAATTTAGCAATATGTTTTCAAAACCTTAGTTTTACAGCCATTTTGGCAAGAAAGTTCACATCAAATTTTTAAAATATTAAAATGAGTATTAAATTAAAAATATTAAGAATGTTTACCTAGATTTTCTACAAGATTTTTCATGAAACCTAGTAATTGGTCAAATGCTGACCAATAGAGCACCAGATAAATAAGTTGTTTATTGATACAGTGGACTACATTTTAGTCATTAAAAATAATGTTTTAGATGGATAGTTATGGGAAGATCTTCACTCTATATTTTTAAGTTTAAAAAGTGAATTATAACACAGTATGATTACCATGACTCCATTTTTGTAAACTAATATATGTGAAGACCTAAAACATAGGTATATACATATCACCAGTTGTTTCTAAGTAGTGGACTGACTGTGACTTCCATGACTATGATTTTTAAGGTTGCCTTCTTATGTAAATTAAAAAAATATACTATTTTTGTCAGGAGTGCAGTGGAGTTGCCACTTACATACACTAACAGGAACGTACCATAATACATTCGAGGCTGACAGTTGGCAATATGTTTTACAATTATTAAATTGTGTGTATATTTTGGCCTAGTCATTCTAATTCTTGGAATTTATTCTAAGAATTAGTCATAGCTATGTATAAAGATTTATATGAAAATTTTTCATTGGATTTTATTTATAGTGTCAGAAAATTGGAAATAGCTTGAAAATTGAACATAAAAGGATTGGTTAAATATGTTATGGCACAGGAATCTGAAAAAGCTGGCATAGATGATCTTATACACAAAGCAGAAATAGAGACATAGACATTGAGAACAAATGTATGGATACCAAGGGGTAAGGTGGGGATGGGATCCGTTAGGAGACTGGGATTGATATGTATATACTACTGATAATATGTATAAACTAGATACCTAATGAGAACCATTAGTATAGCAAAGGGCCTCTACTCAGTGCTCTGTGGTGACTTAGATGGGAAGGAAATCCAAAAAAGAGGGGACATATGGTAACATACATGTTTCAATGCTATTCTTTCAAATCATCCCACCCTCGCCTTCTCCGACAGAGTCCAAAATTCTGTTCTTTACACCTGTGTCTCTTTTGCTGTCTCACATAGAGTCATCATTACCATCTTTCTAAATTCCTTATATATGTGTTAATATACTGTATTGGTATTTTTCTTTCTGAATTACTTCACTCTGTATAATCGGCTCCAGTTTCATCCACCTCATTTGAACTGATTCAGATGCGTTCTTTTAAATAGCTGAGTAATATTAGATTGTGTATATGTACCACAGCTTTCTTATCCATTCGTCTGCTGATGGGCATCTAGGTTGCTTCCATGTCCTAGCTATTGTAAAACAGTGCTGCGATGAACATTGGGGTACATGTGTCTCTTTCAATTCTGGTCTCCTCAGTGTGTGTACCCAGCAGTGGGATTGCTGGGTCATATGACAGACATAGATGTAAAGAACAGACTTTTGGACTCTGTGGGAGAAGGCGGGGGGGGGGCGGTGATTTGAGAGAATAGGGTTGAAATATGTATTTTATCATATGTGAAATAGATCACCAGTCCAGGTTCGATGCATGAGACAGGGTGCTCAGGGCTGGTGCACTGGGATGACCCAGAGGGATGGGATGGGGAGGGAGGTGGGAGGGGGGTTCAGGATGGGGAACACATGTACACCCATGGCTGATTCTTGTGAATGTATGGCAAAAACCACTACAATATTGTAAAGTAATTAGCCTCTAATTAAAAGAAATAAATTAATTAAAAATATATATATATTAGAAAAAGAAAAATTTTAAAAAGAAAGAGGGGCTATATGTATCTGCATAGCTGATTCACTTTGCTGTACAGTAGAAGTTAACACATTATTGTAAAGCAACTATACTCTAATAAAAGTTTTTTAAAATATTATGGCACAGAAATTGGTTACATATATTGTGGCCAT